GGGAGGCTGTAGCTTCACCTTCATCACCTAGGGAGAGATAAGAGCATCCCGCCATTCCTGAGAGGGACTTGGCAGCCAGAGGCCCTGCTCCTGTATTTGGGGAGCTTCCACTGTCTAGTCAAAGAGAAAATTTGTGCTGGCTCTTGCTAATCTGAAGGCAACACAACTTGCTCTCAGCACCACAGAGCTCTCTCCACGCACCCTGCCTTTCCTGCAAAGGTAGAATCACACTTCGGCCCAGTCTGGGGACCTCAGCCCCAGAAGATGCCTTACCTTGGGGACAGCGGACTGAAAGACAATGTTGCGGATGGGCTGTGGGGCTGTGCTAAGCATAGAAATCACCACCACAAGCACATCAGGCCTCTCGGGCAGGGCATCCTTAGCGAAGTGGAAGAGGACACGGAAACCATGCTGATCATACACGGTCACAGGGAGGATGCTGCCTGTAGGAAAGGCAGGGAGAGGCAGCAGTCAGCCAGGAGGGAATTGGCCCTGCAGCAACCACCATTTCCCATCACCCAAACTCCATACAAGTGACAGACACCACTCCTCCTCAACCTCCACAAAGTCCAACAAGCAAGAAGTTTCCTCACATTCTTCCCTTCCATGTGCGCACGGTTTGTTCCCCCCAAGCTTGCCCCCCTCCTTCACCCTGGCTCACTGGGTTTGATTGACTCCAGAGGCACAGTGATGTTGGCCAGTGAGATCTCCTGGGGCAGCGCGGTGGCAGGAGGTCGTGGTGGGACTGCAGTACTTCCTGCTGGTGCGGTGGCAGCTTTTGGAAGTGTAGCAGGGACAGGCAGCTCTGAGGTCAGGGGCAGCGTGGGGTTAGGGGAAACGCTCTGGAGCACTGGCAGAGCACTGGGATTGGGGACTGCGGTGCCAGAGCTGCTCCTGTTCTGGAGATCCCTCAGGGTGAGCCGAGGGGGTGGCTGCTGCTTCTCCCTGTAGGGAGAGAGCAAGGAGTGGAACAGGGCACTGAAATGTGTCCAGCACCCCAGAAATGGAAACAATAGGGAGAGATGTGAGATTATGCTACCCGTGCTTACCATCGTACTTGCTGAGACTCTGGAGGCAAAGACTGTTGCAGCAGAGTCTTGCCCAGAAGGTCCAGGTCATCCAGGCCACTGGTGAAAGGAGGTTTGGGGGAGGATGCACCAGCATCTGCTTTGACTGGTGGTGTTGCTGTGATAGGGGTGATACTGAGCTCGTTGCTATCTGATGACTGTAAAAAGAGTGCACAGAAGAGCCCCCCAAGCAGGGTTGCATATCAGCACCAACCATCAGATGTGGGAATGTCTTCCTACCTACTCCGTTTGTTGCTTTCACCACCCTCCCCACCCTCTGCTCTGGCTCCTAGCACGTTACCTGGAAGCTGTTCCAGCCACTGCTGTCACCAGCCTGGGCAGGATGCGGGGCTGGGTCATTCAGGCCTGCCAGGGGTAAAAGCAAACATGAAGCTTAGCTACCAAGCGGGTAAGAACATTAAATGGGGCCTGAATAAGACACAGAAGCAGCAGGGCAGAACCACCAATGTGGTCTCCATCTCTGGCCCCCATCCTTGCATGGGGGAGAGCTGGGAGGGTGATAAGTGTTTTTTCTGCCCAGAGATGCTCATTTACAGTTTACTTCTCACTGCAGTTGGCAGAGAAGTGAATACCACTGGGCTGACTGACCAAGCTGTCTACTTCATGCTGCTGTACTCAAAGCACCTATCTTAGGAAACAGACACTGTGTTGGGAAAAGCAGGACCCTAGAGCGCTCCAGGATTGCCACCTCACAGGATTTCCATGTGAACAGTTCTGGAAGTCCCATGAATCTGTTGTCAGCTCATGATTTCAACTGCAAGGAGTAAACATGAGAAGCTGGGGGTGATCCACCCTTGTGGATCTGGGGATGGCCATTGCATCACTCCTGATTTACCTGCCAGGTCAGTTTTTCCAAAGCAAATCAGAGGACACATCCCCGCAGGCTCTCCCTGACTAGCCAGGAAACCACCACGGGACTGAAGTTCAGAATCATAGCAGGGACATTCCCTCCTTCTCCCTCACACTACATGAAGGACACCTCTTGGTCTTTCATTATTCACCTCTCCCAGAGTCTCCCTTATTCCTGTTTGTGCCACAAGAAGAACCATCCATGCAGACTGTCCAAAGTCAAGGAGAGAATAAAGACCTTTTGCTCCGGATTTCTCACCTAAAGACATGAGTTCATCATCCAGCAAGGAGACAGAGCCAGCTTGGTCAGGCACGGGGACTGCAGAGTCACCTGAAAAGGTGGGCAAGGCTGGGTAGGAAGGGCCTGTGGCTGGAAGATCCAGGCCTGACAGATCCAGAAGTGCTGAGGTGCTGCCTGCAAAGAAGGAACAAGCTGAGAGACAGAAACCTTACCCAGTGTGCTGAGGCCACTTCCCATCCTTCCTCACACCTGGGAGAGGGATCTTCCCCTCTGTTCTCCCTTCCAATTCCCTCTCTTCATGTGTCAGTCATCTCTACAAGCCATTTCCTCATCTCACCAGCCCCACTCTGACCTCCTGCAGGTTTCACCTTTCCACTTCTCTCACTTTTCTCTTACATTGCAGAAAACCAGCAATAGGATCCCTCTGCTTGACCTTCCTCTCCCCGTTCCCCAAGTGTCCTCACCTCGAAGGGGACCAGCCACCGTCTCCCCATTGATCTCTTCTCCCCGTACAAGCTGCTTGTAGAGATTGATCACCTGTGTCAGATTGTCATTGGCTTGCAGGATTTCCGCTGAAATGGAATAGGTGGGAAGTAAGTTTGAAAATTGTGAAGAAACAAAAAAGAATGACATTTATACCCCAACTTTGTCTATTCCTTCAAAGCAAGGCCCAAGGAGCTGACAATAGCCCACTGCAGATAGCGTTTTCACAATTGTTGCTGCAGACTGCACCAAGGTACGTTGACACCTCCATGGCAGACTCAGCAGGACAAGCTCACGCATCCTTCCTACGGTGAAGTGGAGGAAGCCTGTAACGCTGCTGATTGCTGCCATGTGCCCCCGCTTAGTGCCAAGCCATGGACAAACTAAACTACAGCAAGCAGCCACCCCAAACAGCCACCCTGACAGATGCTGTGCCATGGGCAGCCCAAGCACAGGCTCCCTGTAAGAAGATGGAAGGAGAAGTGGACAGCATGAGAAAGGCCAGATATGCTTACCCAGAGCTTCATCATTGTCTTCTGTGTCACTGGCGAGCCGGAAAAGCATGGGCCTCATGCGCTCGCAACGCTGATACAGCTCCTGGGCAAGAGGAGAAAGGGGTGTTGAGGCAAGCAGCAAGATGCTCAGCTGGGAGTGCAAAACAGGCAGGAGGAACTTGGGCAGGATAAGAGTCACCCATCTCCGCTAAGCCCAGGACACTGGGATGGCCCTTCCTCACCTTCATTAGGTCCTCATTGCTTTCCGTTGTTTCCCCTTTGCTGTAGTTTGTCACCATCTCTGTCAGCAGCTTCACATTGTTGTTCACCTCCTCAATGGCATTCACCCTCTTGGAGATCTTCTCCATGCGCTTCTGGTCCTGGAGGGGGAGCACATGGGGAAGGATGTCCTTGCTCTTGTCTGCAACTTGGAAAGGAGGAAGGCTGGGCCAACCAACACACCGACTCCCTGGACTAAGGCACAGCCCACTCCAGTGGAAAACTCCAGATCACCTCTGGGCCAGCACTTGCCAAACAGGGATGGAATTGCTGCAGATCTAGTGCCGCAGCAGAGCTTGGGCCACAGAAAGTGCCCAGAGCCATTCCTCCAAGTAGCCAAGGGATGGTAGATATCACATAAGGACTCTTTAGCAGCTCCTGCTGCTGCAAAATTTTGGGCAGAAGCTCCATATGTCTGCATGAGGACAGAGAACCACTGCTCCCTTGGTGCCAACCATTGCCACAAGACCATGACCCCCCAGCTCCCCTTTTCCCCAGCTGCACCTCCTGAACCATCTCCTTGATGAGCTTGTTGGCAGCCCGGAGGTCCTCAGGATGGGAACTTTTCAGGAGACGAGCCAGTATCTGCAAAAAAGAAGGCACCTCTGAGCCCAAGCTCAGGAGCAGCAGCCAGAGTCACTCTTGCAACACTACAGCCAGTCAAGTTACCCCTGCCCCAAACCCGTATCTGGCAGAGGCAGGGGACAATGCCAGCTGTTTGAAAGCTCCGCCACGAGAGCTTGCAGCCTGTCAGAGACCAAGGAGAGAAGAAGTACAACTGGTCTTCCTTTTCCCGTTCTGCTTATGTAAGATAGGTCTTTCCCTGAAGATCCCCTGCATTCAAAACCTGCTCCTGCCTGCCCGTTACGCACCGTGGAGACCCTGGAGCACAGTAGCACTAGTACTGAGAGAGAAAGACAGCCTGCTTTATGCAGGAATTGCCATGGGATTGTAATGGACTCCTCAGACCTCTTCACATGCCTCTTTGCAGGTGCAACTGGTGATGAGGGAGAGTTCCCACTTTCTCTCCTGCTCCATAGTCAGTGAACAGTCCCACTGGCCACCTAGAAATCCTCATTTGCACACTGTGACCCATGGAGGCAAAATATATGCCCTGCAGCAAACTGGCGTCACACCTCTGCTGCAGAACTAGACCCAGAGGAGCCTAATACTTGCTTAAATGTATCAGCACTGACAATGCAGAGGTTTGTCCGAGTGCTGACACAATTCTGACGGGAAGGCAATATAGGATGGATCCAGGAGGGTATAAGCAGTTGAGCAATAAGCAGATTGCACTGCTGGGGGTGGGGAAGAGATAACAGCAGCTGCATCTAGGGCTGGGATTTAAACCTCATGGCCAGGTAACTCAGAAGCCTGGAGAGCGCACAGCAGGAAACCTCCCAGAACCTGCTGGGCTAATGTCAGCACTTCACCCTTTGCACCATCCTGTAGCTAAGCGCTCTAAAGGTCAAGTAGACCCACATGCCCCACCTCTGGCTGTTTCATTTGTCAGGATTCTGGAGCGGGCCCTCAGCTGTGATGCATTTTCTGAAGGACAGCATGTGGAGCAGGGGCCTTGCCTTGACTCCTTCTGGATCTACACCTCAGGGGGACAGATCATGGAGCAGGGAAGATGTTGTCTGCTGTCCCCCTCCTTGCACAGAGCCCTTACCTTGGATTTCTCTTCATCATCAAAGATGATGTTCTTGGGCCGAGGGGGAGGTGGTGGAAATGGAGCGTCATCAGGCAGTTTTGGGTCACACTTCACAATCCCTGCAGTAGACACCAACGGAGGGGTCAGGAGGACTCAACCACTGGGGATGGCACTGTCATCTACGTCTTTTCTTACCCTAACGATCCGCCAAACCCAGCTGGGACTGAGGGTGTGTCGGTTTGCTCCCACTACCCATGATCTTGGATTGTGTTTTCATGGAAGAACTACCCTCCACTTCCCAGAAATATCCTCTCTTAGAAAAAGCCAGCATCAATCGCCAAAGCACTCACAGCCCTTCAGCCCCAGACCTTTCCACTGCCCCATCTTCTGTAGGAGCAAGCAGATGTCTCCTCCAATCCATCAAGCAACTCAGACCATCAGCAAGTCCCTCTGCCCAGCTAGGGGCCCCAAGGCACCCAGCTCCTTCACCTGCCCCTGCTGCTGAGCCAGACTGATGGATGTGCTGGGTTGGGGCACAGGAAAGGGAGAGTCTGTTTCAGATTCTGCTCAGACAAAAAACAAAGGAGGGCAAACTAACCACCCACCTTCCTCTTCCAGACCACTGCTTCTCACCTTGCTTCTTCAGCATCTGGTAGGCTTCTGAGATCTTCACCTCGTGAGGCAGCCCTAATGTCCAGCTGTACATCAGCTCCAGGATCTTTGACTTCACTTTTTCTGGTGTTCGGCTGCCAAGATACTAGAGGAAGAGAGAAGAGGTGGCTTGAAGCTGATCTGAGCCGTTGCAAGCCTGGCCTGTTCCTCTCCTCCCCTCCCCCAGGAGAAGTGAGACCGTTCCCAACGGCACAAGGAGGAGGAAAGAGGAAGCAAGCAGGAAAGCTCACGAGGCCCTTGCAACACATCCTATGCTGTGCTTGGTTTCCACCACAGAAAACACAAGAGGTGGGAGAAATGCTGCACTAGCAGCCCCTCAGTGACATGCAGGGACAGGTGGGAAGGCTCAGGCAGGTCTCTGTCACCTTGTGAAGGAAAGGGTACCTCTAACAGAAGCTGCTCAGCAAGGCAGCCCTTCAGAAATGAGGGGACAGCCGGGCTGGGAGGGGAAGGACTGTGGGTAACGATCCCTGGGTCAGGGCCGAGCCCTCTCTCTCAGAGGCACCCTCCAGCACAAGCACCTGGCACCCTTTAGAGCTAGGTGAGCCCTAGATGACCCGCACCCAGCGGTGAGATGTCCAAATGTTACAGCTCTCCCCCTGCCATGCAACCATTCTTCAACCTTCTCCCATGGGTCTGCTGGGGGCACTGGTGGTAGAAACAGTGCATGTGTCACCAGAGCTCAGCGGCTTAAGGTAGAGGACATTCTCTAGGGAGCCTAGGAAGAGGACTTTAGGATGCTGCCGTCACTGTCCCTGGCTATTCATCACCACAGATCACAAGCTGTGACTGGCAGATGAAGGTTTTCCTTAGTCATATTTAGTGTGTGTTCTCTTAACTCTATACTTGCTGGTGTTAACTGCCTTGACTGAATAGGAGAGCACGCACAGCTTGTTCTGCTGCAGGAAAAGCAGCGCAGCATCAGCAGAGGAGCAGGTAATGACTTGGTGCTTCAGATGAACTCGCCAGAGCACCACTGACCAGGCCTGGGCTTGCCCTCTGAGAGTGTCTCAACCAGGTTGGGACACCCCAGAGAGACATGGTCACGATGTCAAAGCTGGGGGAGGTTCTTGAGCACATGCAGCACAGACAGAGCCCAAAAGAGATGCAGGGAAGGTGACTCCAGGCACGCACGTGAGCTCAGTAGTCTCACAAGTGCTGGCTGAATCATATCTAGCTGGCCTTCAGCTTCCTGCATCAAGAACCAGCCTGGAGCAGAGGGCTGAAAGCTCACCTTCCCACCAGAAAACTCACCAAGGAACAAGGACTAAATCTCCTACTAGCACTGTCCTGGTTCCCCCACATCCCAGCAGGTGCCTGACCTTTCTGCTCAGCCAGCACTTCACCCCAAAGCCCTCCTGCCACCAGACTCCAGTCCCCTCCAACGCAATGCCCCAAGACCCACCTTGGGTGACACCACTTTGATGAGCTCATTGAGGAAGCGGAACTTGCCCACCTCGTCGTGGAAGCGTTTGCCACAGCTCTTCATGCAGGACTCCAGCACCTGGGGAGAGCGGCCAGGTAAGCCCCAGCCCAGGGTTAGCAGCAGATTCAGGAACCAGTTCCCTCCTGCTTTGCCCCTCACCAGGCACGGAACCTGTGGCTACCCTCACAGCAGCGCAGGGGGATACTCCCTTTCCCTCCCCAGTGGCCAAGCACCCTCCCAAAGGGAAGCAAGATTTTCCTCTTTGAGGTCAGTCTTTGCAGAGGTGGTTCAACAGCCCATGGAAGGGGATACCCTTAGAGAGCTCACAAAGACCAGAGTTTCACAACATAGATCCACAACACCATTAATAATCATAGAATCATCTAGGTTGGAAAAGACCTTTAAGATCATCAAGTCCAACCGTTAACCTAATACTGCTAAGTCCACCACAACAAAAACCAAAAAGCTTCCTATCAACTTCAACAGGCTATGATCCTTCCTAGGAACAAGATCTTTCCTACCAGTTACCCCTGCTCTCCTGAGGAACCACCTTCAGCACTTCTCCCACCCAAAGGCCCAGGTGCTCCCAGGCTTTCTCAGAGGGAATTCAAAGCTTCCCATGCTCCTCCAGTCAAACTGGAGAAACTCCAAGTCCTGGTCCTCCATCTAGTTCTACCAGCGTGCAGATGCCCTTACCGTGAGGGCCTGGATAGCTTCCCATTCCTGCGGAGACTGGATCTTGTGGGCAAGAAGTCGGGTAGCAAGTGGAGGACTGGAAGGAGTGAGAGGGGAAAAAAAAAAAAAAAAGCTAGCCAGTTATTGATGAGAAGCCTGGTACCTGTGTTTCTGTCTAGGAATCCAGGGTTGAAAAGCATATTACAAGTTTAAGGCAGTGATAAGGCACCAAAAGACCCCAAAACCCCGAGGGAACCTTCTGTTAGTGGACCAGGACCCACTCCCCCTCTTTGAGGGGCTTCATGCCTATTCAGCTTTTGGGACAACCCCACTGAATTTTACTGGGTGAGGAATCATAACCCAGGTGGGGAATCATAACCTGGGGAAAGAACACAGCACTTACCCCTCTAGCTCCTTGTTGAGCTGCTCACAGAAGGCGTTGATACCATCCCAGTCCAGGTCCTTGTTCAGGGGGTTTGTCGCTTTGTCTGCGGGTGGGAGAAGGGAACGGTGACAAAGATCTCCCCAGGCTCCCACCCTGTGGAGGTGAGGGGCAATATCGCTCCTGCTCCCTCCCTGCCAGCTCCAGCAGGTGCATCAGCGGAGAATGGCATGGAAGGAAAAACCCACTCGTGTCCACCCGCCCCTTCCCGCAGAAGCCCTGTGCACAAACTCTCCCACCACCACCCCCCTGTC